TCTATAAACAGAAGGCCCAACAGGCTGTAGAGATAAGTTTGTTTATTAAATTCAACTGAAAGCTACATGATGGTTAAAATAAATGAGCTGACATTTTACAAACTTATGGCTTAATTAGATCCAATCAAACAAAACTGCTTTAAAATACTGAAACCATCCATCCATCCATCCATCCATCCATCTATCCATCCATCCATCCATCCATCCATCCATCCATCCATCCATCCATCATATTTCTCTTGTTCCAGACTCAGGTCTTGGGGACAGCAGGTTCAGACCTTTCGTCCTACAGCAACTTCTTCTGGAAGGACCAAGGTTTTCCCAGATCAGCTGAGAGACATAGACTCTTCATTGTGTCCTGGGTCTTCACTGGGGTCTCATCCCAGTTGGACTTTTCCAGAACACTTACACAGAAAGGCATTCAGGGGTCATCCACAGCAGATGCCTGAATACAGCAGCAACATCCAGAGCCTCGAGGAACTCAAGACAGATCTCGTCCACCCCTGGAGCCCTGCTGCTGCTGTGGAGCTTTTAAACTACCTGGGTCGCAGGGTGACCTCAGACCGACCACCAAGTCCCCAGACTCAGCTTCCTCCATGGATGATGTGCCGGTTGGATTGACAAGAGTCTTAATCTAAGGCCTCACTCAACATCTGAGCTTTTGGATCAGCAACAGCCAGGCCTGAAGCCTCAGTGGTGTAGGAGCAAAACATGGCCCACAAAGATTCAATGTCCCTCGTCTTAGCTGTTGAAGGAAAATCATTTTATGTTGAGATGAAAGGGAGTTGTAGCACTTTGGTCAAAATTCAAGAATGACACACATGATCATGACATGTCRCATGTTCTCCCCATGCTTGAGTGGGTTTTCTCCAGATACTCTAGTTTCCTCCCACAGATCAATATTCTATTTATTAAAACTAACATGTCAAGAAAAAGCAAATAAAAGAATAGATTTTGTATTTTAGTCTGTATTTCCAGTTTTGGGTAATTTTCTTCACAAGAAAATAAATCTGTTTTAAATACACAGAAGAGGTGGCTTTAAAATTAAGAAAGCTTATCCTTATAAATGTTTTTAAAATGTATATTTTAACTTTAAAAATGACAAATAGCCCATAGGTATCATGGTAATTTATTATGAAGGGAAAGTGTCCCGTCAAATTAAAAAATTCATTTGAACCCCAACATTTACAATAATAATTAGTTCACCCAGCTCTGTTTCTATYGCTTAACAAACAAATTCATTCCTTTTGATTTACAGAATACTGACACTAAGTGTTTACTTATGTTGGTAAAAGTTTGTTTAACAACCAGTTAAAATAAACCAGAATGCAGGAAATGGCATCTACTTCACTCAAAAATTTAATACAACAGTTTTACAGGTACTGAGTTGAAAMTGAATGTGGGTTAAGAGTCTTTCACTACAAATACTCTGAGTGTGACATGTCATGATCATGTGTGTCATTCTTGAATTTTGACCAAAGTGCTACAACTCTCTTTCATCTCAACATAAAATGATTTTCCTTCAACAGCTAAGACGAGGGACATTGGGCCTCATGCAAGAACAAG